AGAGTTTACAGATTTGGAAATGATGAAAGCTTGAAGTCTTCAATGGTGGAAGTCTTCTTCTTCTTCTTCCTTGGCTGCACCCGGTTCTCCTTTCTTCCCCTTAGCTCCCCAAATCTGCTCTCTATTGTGGAAAAAATGTAATAGCCTCCTCTTCCACGTTCAAAAGGCTCCCCCATTCAGATTGCAATTCCCCTTTGCCTTCCCTCTCTCCTCCTTTCCAGCTTTGGCTTTTAATATTCTAATGCAAAGTCTTCACCCATTGTCTTCTTGTCCCCTTGCAAATGATGAAGCCTTGTCTTAAGGTATAATCCAAGACTCCAATTGACTCAGGAAATTCCACTCAAATGCAATCCATTGTTACCAAAAGGTGTGGTAACAAGTAGAAATAAAATGCTATTAAGTGGGGGTGAAAACTGGGCCAAAGCAAACATCCAGAGCCAGCATCAATTGTCCGATCAGTTGGATAGGCTACACTTGCCCAATGGAGCTCAAATTTGGATATGTTGTAGTTAACATCCATTGGAACAAGTCTCGTGAAGATCATGACCTCATCCGAGCACCGGAGCATGCTGATCCCAGGCCAAGAAGTTGACCTACGAAAGGCTGCCCCCGGTTCTCCTCTCTTCCCCTTAGCTCCCCTAATCTGCTCTCTATCGTGTAATGATGTAATAGCCTCCTCTTCCACGTTCAAAAGGCTCCCCCATTCAGATTGCAATTCCCCTTTGCCTTCCCTCTCTCCTCCTTTCCAGCTTTGGCTTTTAATATTCTAATGCAAAGTCTTCACCCATTGTCTTCTTGTCCCCTTGCAAATGATGAAGCCTTGTCTTAAGGTATAATCCAAGACTCCAATTGACTCAGGAAATTCCACTCAAATGCAATCCATTGTTACCAAAAGGTGTGGTAACAAGTAGAAATAAAATGCTATTAAGTGGGGGTGAAAACTGGGCCAAAGCAAACATCCAGAGCCAGCATCAATTGTCGATTGGTTGGATGGGCAATACTTGTCCAATGGAGCTCAAATTTGGATATGTTGTAGTTAACATCCATTGGAACAAGTCTCGTGAAGATCATGACCTCATCCGAGCACCGGAGCATGCTGCTCCCAGGCCAAGAAGTTGACCTACGAAAATGAACAAAAACA